TTTTGTGATTGCTAACAATTTCCAAATTTAATTTAAAAGATTCTCATTCTTGTGGGAAAATAGTTGGAGTTAAGGTTTTTGGTCTGTGGCACACTTAGTTATTCAACAATGGCAAGAAAGATGATTTTATCTTAATCAGCCATGCTTAACATGCACTCATTTAATCAGATCTTTGTTTTTAATTTTTTTTTAACATTAGACTGTACCATGAAAATAATTCAGACATTTGTTTTTCCCTAATGATGTACACTGGAATGAGGGTTTCTTTCATTTATATCAAATTATATCCATTTTTTTCTTGGTCAATGTTCTATTTTTTTTTTATCTGATGCATTGTTTGGATATATATTCCTCCACCATTATGTATTCAATTGCTTTTTCCCAGTTGCTTTAAAAAATAATCAAGATTAAACTTTCTCACCCTTTTTAAAATGGCAGATTATTGGACCTGTGTCTTCTTTTACAACATGACAAATACGGTAACATGCTTTTCATGACTGAACATGTACAGTTATCCTTTCCACATCTTGGGGGTTAGGAGTGTGGCATTCCCCTCTATCTGGAATATCTGCATAAAATTTTTTGGCCCTCCCTTTGTACCAGAGAAGAATACTGAAGTATTGTGGTATTAAAAGATAAAATATGTTGAAATTATACAGTACTATATTTATGCATGTCTGAGTTCTTAAACCATGTAGGCAGCTTTTACAAAACTCCCCCAAATTTCCCATTTAATTTCCTATTCCGACCTGCCATATATTGAAACCCAGATGGGGAAAATCGTGGAAGGGATAACTATATATAACCTCAAGGGAGGGGGGAGGTAAGGGAGGGAAAAATTTGGAACACAAAATTAAAAAAAAAAAAAGAATGTTCAAAATTTGTCTTTACATGTAACAGGAGAAAAAATAAAACTTCCCCCTCTGCTTTGTGGCGCCTCATTCTCTTCCAACTCCTCAAAATGTTAGTGTCTCCGAGCATTCTGCTTGGTTTCCTTCTCTTTTCTATATATGCCCTTCCTTGCTGATGTCACCTATTCACATCATTTAAATGCCCCATCACCCTGATGAGAAAGGGATGACAGAGACACTGGGGTGTGATAAAATCAACATTTTCCTGATGGAGACGTCATAACCTAGGGAGGCTTTACCTTTTGAAAAAAAAAAGACAACTCTGCCCCCAAGACCCCATTGATCTATATAAGACTAGGGTTTCCCTGATACTGCTTTCCTCCTACTGGCAACATTGGGAAGCCTTATCTAAAAGTTAGAGCTCCTCTCCAGGGGACTCAATTCTCCTGCTTCTCTGGTAATAAGAGCATAAAAAGTTCCAGCCATGTGGAGAATGGGCCTAGTCTAGATTTGGTGGGTACCCAACACCATGGGAGTTGCCATACCTTGATGACTTACTCACTAGATGCATTTTCAATAGAGATGAAGGGAGCCATGTCCAGAGAAGCTAAGAGCTACGGTATCCTTGGTACACATGCAAAGCAAACTGTTAAAGACTTCAGTGCTTCATTTCAACCCAACTTCAAATCTGAACTGAGTGCTCGAATCAGAGGCAGAGAAGGGAGTTCTGTGAATAGCATGAATTTTTTTCAAGTCATCAGTGATTGGTCTTTTGCCAGTTCACATCTTCCATTGACCTCTAGCATCTGATACTTTTCACCCACCTCTCTATTCCTTCTACTCAGTATATAATCCTGATTTCTCTGTTTTCCTGCCTCAATGATTACTTCCCTTGATGACTTACACAGCTTGTATTTGCACCTTTCTTCCATTAAGTCTAGTTCTGTATTTCCACTTGCCTCCTAGTGGCACTTTCATCATCTCTAGCATAGGAATATCCTAATTCCAGCTCTCATAAAAGCTAGTATAGTTTTCCTTAAAGGTACTGAGACTATCCTCAAGACTTGGTTAACTCTGGGGACTTATGGCTGTTTTTGTCACTTTGTCACTTAAGAACAAAACAGCCACAAGAATATCCACCCAAGAACTGGCATAGACTTGTAGGATTGGAACACAGCTCACTGAAGTGGGAACTGGGCAGTACAGAGAAAGGTAACCCTGGAATGGCTTTCATAACTTTTCTGGTTCATTTGGTGATTCTGGTTGCTTTCTGTCAAAAGGCAACTTTCTACTCCTGGTTGAAAATATTTAGGAATTCCTTTCCATTTAAATTACAGTAATACTGAAATAACTGTTATAGGCCTAGTTGTAAAATTTGTGTTAAGCAGACTCATTAATCCAGTAATAAACATGTTTGCATAAGAACAGTTTACCACTTCATCACTGGCTTAATGGACTGTCTTCAGGCCAGCTATCTAAGGAAGTAGTATGAAACATTTGATTTGCCAGGTATCATTGAGAATAAGGAAGAAAAGACCTAGGAAATTTGGCATGTGAGAAATTTAAAATATTAAAAAAGCTACTGCTGATCTTCCATTTTTTTCCTTCAAATACCAGCCCTCTTCCCCCAACAAAGAACTGTTACTTCTAACAAAGAACAGTTAAGCAAAACAAACTTTGACCATGCCTGACAGCATATGCATCATTCCATACCAGTATTCCTATATTTCTTGACCAAGAAGAAAAGCATTTATTTCATTATTGGTCCTTTGGAATCAATATGCATTGCACTGATCTAAGATCTGATATCCCTTTAATGTTATTTGCTTTTTAGTACTTTTTGTGTTCTTTTTAAAATATTTTATTTTTCCCCAGTTACATGTCAAAACAATTTTGAACATTCGTTTTTTTAAAAATTGGAGTTCCAAATTTATCTCTCCCTCCCTTACCTTACCTTCTCCCTCCCTGAGACAGTAAATAATTTGTTATAGGTTATACAATTATAGGTTATACAATCCAGCTTCTGACCTCATTATTCAGCCACGACAGCTCTTTCCAAAGTTACCTAAGATCTCTTAATTGCCAAACCGAATTTTTTTTTCAATCCTCAGCCTTCTTGACCTCTCTCCAGTCTTTATCACTGTCACCCATTTCTGGAAACTCTCCTATGTAAGTTTTCCATGACATTGTTCTCCCCTGATTCTCCTGCTGTCTGATTGTGCCTTTGTAATCTTTGCTGGATCAACACACAGGTCAAAGGCACAGTTTGTCCTCCCAGGCTAAGTCCTGAGACCTCTTCTTTCCTCTCACCAAATAATCTAATCTGCTCAATTACCAACTCTATGCATTTGATTCTCACCTAGTCTCCCACCACCAGCTGCCCCTAGGACCTCTTGAACTGGATGTTCCAAACATCTCAAACTCCACAAATTTCAGATATAACTCACTGTTATTTCTGAACCTTCTCCCCTTCCATACTTACTACTTATTAGAGGGCAAAACTGCCCAAGCTTACCACATGTCCTCACTCTCACACCCTATCACTCATATCCAATCTGTTGTCAATTACTTTTTTTGTATTTTCTGGACTGATTTCTTCACTAGGGCTCTCTCAGGAGACTCATTCTTGAGGCAACATCATCCAGTAAGATCTCATCTTGGGCTAGATGGAACAGTCAATGAAAAGCCAGGCCACTAGTCAGGAAGACCCCAGTTCAAATTTGACCTCACTTATTAGCTATGTGAGCCTGACCAAGTCATTTAACATGGTTCATCTCAGTTTTCTCACCTGTAAAATGAACTGGAGAAGGAAATAGCAACCACTCCAGTATTTTTGCCAAGAAAACCCAAATGGGGTTAAAGAATTGGACACCACTAAAAAACAACAAAAATCTCATCAAGCTTGCTACTCTACTTCATTACTACCCTATGACTTTCTGACTGGAGGGTTGAGGCAATGTGCTTGAAACCTCCACGTTAAGGAGAGTGATCAGCTCAGACATTTCATTTCTCACCTGGCAGGACAACTTTGGGATCTCTGACTTCCCCACATTTGGATAACACCTTCTCCTACTCCTCCACTGACCTGTGAGCTCCTTAAAAGAAGCACTTTTTTGGTATTTGTATTCTTAGTGCAGTACAGTGCTCAGCACTGTGCAGGCACTTAATAAATATTGACTATCAAGTCGGTGAAAGCACTTCACAAATACTCTCATTTTATCTTCATAACAATGCTGGGAACTATTATTTATGCCCATTTTACAGATGAGGACGTTAACTCGGACAGAAGTTACATGCATTGCCTATAGTCATACAGCTAAATGTCTAAAGCCACATTTGAACTCAGGTCTTTATGACTGCAAGTCTCATGCCACACCTAGCTTTCTATTTGGGAAAAATTTAACACAACAGGCTTGGTTTGGTCAAAGACTTTTCCTCCCCTAAAAATGCAAACATGAGACCAAGGTATATACCAATAACTCCAACAATTTATTTTTCTGAGGAAAACGCTATTTTCAAGATTCTGCTGTCTTCTAGTTCTTCTATCCTTTAATTGCTCCTCCTTAGTCTCTTTTCCCCAATCCACAAATGGGAAATGAGGATGCTTAACTATGCATTCAACATGTTTTTCTCATAAAGTTCATGTCACTTCCGCCTGCCCTTTTTTCCCTTAGCCACATCTACTTACTTCTCAGTCTCCTTTGCTGGGGGTTCACTCGGGTCATACCCACCTACTTACTATGTATGTCCTCGGAGGTTCCCTCCTGCTATCTGGGTCACATCTGGTGACCACCTCAGCCCTGGTTCCAATCGTTTTTCTCTATGCCAATGCTCCCCCCATCTATACATCCAGCCCGGGTCGTCCTCCTTTAACTCCAGACAAGAGACCGAATGTCACAGATAGATGTCCACATGTCCAAAAACAACTTCTGATCCTTCTTCCCAAACTCCACCCAACCCCCCCCCCCCAGAACCCAAGTCTCCTCCCGATCTGCCTCCAGCTCCCCCTCACCCTACTTAGGGAACACCCAACTCTGCACCCCCGCCCCGGCATCCTCACCCCTCCCCCCCCTTCACCCCCCCTCCGGGCCGGCCTCCCCCAGGCTTGCCCGCCCCCTCCCCGGCAAACACGACACCGAGGCACGTAAATGCTAGAGCTTCAATGTTTTAATCGTTTCTCTCCCGCGAGCCCAGGGCGCGGCGGCTCAGAACTGGATCACTTGGCCCTTCCTCTTCTTGTCTCCTCCCAGCTCGAAGTGCTTGCAGCGCTTGATGGCCAGCATCCGCTTGGACCTGCAGTTGGGCTCCACGCACTCGAGCCGCAGCACGATCTTCTTCGTGGTCTTGGCCTTCTTGCGGAAAATGGGCTTGGTCTGGCCGCCGTAGCCGCTCTGCTTGCGGTCGTAGCGCCGCTTGCCCTGCGCGTACAGAGAGTCCTTGCCCTTCTTGTACTGCGTGACCTTGTGCGGCTGGTGCTTGCCGCACTTCTTGCAGTAGGTGCGCCGGGTCTTGGGCACGTTCACCATGGCGGCGGCGGCGGCGGCGGCGGCGCCGGGGGGGCTTCCCAACTCTGCTTCGCGCGGGGCCGGACTTCTCTTCGGCTTTTCGGAGCCGCGAAGGGCACGGGAGGAGACGGAGGAGGCGGAGGAGAGTTCTGAGAGAAGAAGCTGCCGGGAGCCGAGCGGAGCTTAGCGCGCGCCGGCACGAGACTCGCGGGGAGGAAGGGCCGAAGGGCCGAGGCGCCGTCTTATTCGCGCTCGGAGCGGAAACGGAAGTGGATGTGGATGCTACCCAAGAGACAAAGCGAGCCGGGAGGCCGGAAGGTCTGGTAACTCCTGACGAAAGTGCGGAAATGCTCGGGGAGGGGGGCGCTGTTCTTCTCCGGGGCTGCCTTTCTTGGGGCGAATGTGTTGTTGGGGTGTGGTCGGGCGATTTACCGTATTTTTGACGGGCGGCGATTGCTGCCGACGAGGGCGGGCTTTACCGATTTGCGACACTTGGTTGCAGTCTCTTGCCTCACTGTTGCCGTGGTGATGATGGTCTCAGCAGCGTGGATGTTCCAGGAGGTTGACTGGGAATAAGGCTTTTAAACTTTGTTGAGTATTGTCCGGGTCCTCATCCCGGGGAGCACGTGGTCCAGGGCCGTGGGGAACAGGGACACGCCCCCGCCCGTGGGGAGCGGAAGTGGCGGGACCTCCTCGCGGGGTGCGCCTTCTTTTTAAAAAGTCTAGTCCGCAACCAATTATTAAACGCCTACTGTGTATCAGGCACTGTGCTGATTAAAAAAAAAATTTTAATAATTTTTAAATTTTTATTCTTTTTTTCCTAGATGTGTGACCCTGGGCAAGTCATTAACCCCATTGCTTAGCCAAAAAAAAAATTATTCTTGTCAGTTAACAAGCATTTTTGTTAGACCATCCCTCCCCAAACCCCCCTCACCATAGTGATCCAGTTTTTTAAAAACTCGAAAAAGAAAGACTTCAATATTTATTATCCGCGTAATCCAGGAAAACAATAGTCCTGGAAAACAGCTTTTTAGGAAAACAGTTTCCACCCTGGCCGTGACTGAGAGGTCGCGTGTCTTTCTGCGCGTTAATTTTCTTCCCCCTCACGAGGCCTGTGTCATCTTCCTTCATTCCCAGGCTTTTCAAAGTGGTTTTTCAGTGTAATGTTTTTATGGTGAAAATTGTTGTCCTGGTCCTCGTCTTGCCCCGCGTCACCTCGCGAAGGTCTGTGCCATTGGCTGGGAGTGTCCCCGTGGCCGTCCCTTGTGGCACCAGGATATTCCGGCTCCTTCCCACCCCCCCGGGGAGGTGCCTCCTTTCTTCCCAATTTTTGGCTGCCAGGAAAGGAGCATGGATAAATATTGATTTGATAAAATCCTTGATTTCCTGGGGGAGGAAGGACAGAGTGGGTATAAGCCTGTGTTCCCTGGTCAAATGAGATAGTAATTGTAAAGCAAATAGCACCGGGCCTGGTACATAGTAAGAGCTGTGTGGATGACGTTAGTGAAATAACTGGATGACAGCTCTGAGGCTTTTCTTTGGGGAAGGGTTTTTGTTTTTGCTTTTTGTTTTTCTGTTGGATCCTTGAGATGTAGAGAAGGAAGATCTTTTTCAGATGTTTTGCTTGTCTTACACACCATCTGTAGGATGTTTAACATATTTCCCTTTGCTTTTCACAGACATTCTCCTTTGTAAATTGCTCTATTTAAAACAATTGGGTTTTTTGGTTTGTTTTTTCCATTATGGGCTTAACAGTTGTGGTCTGTGTCAGAGACAGTATGATGGCTAGAGGGACAACCTCTAAGCCAAGAAAACCTGGAATTCACTGTCCCTATCCCCAAAATGAGTCCAAACCTAGACAGACCTCTATATTCACCAGTGCCTATGCCATGAATTTAATTACCAACAAACCTTTGGTTTGAAAGAAAAACAAAAAAAACCCAAGGATTTTATGACTTTTTTAAAAAAATGCATGTTGAATTTAACTCGGTAGTAATTAAATTGCAGTATTTACTTAGTTTCTTTTCTGAACTTTTTGGTTTTGTTCTCTATTTTTTTTAATGTTTTACTGATACTTTTGTTGTTATTGTTGCATCTTTATCACTACCCACTAATTCCCTCTTACTAGAGAAGCTCTCCCTTGTTTAACAAATAAGTATTTCTCATTCTTCACCTCCAGTCTGTCACTTCTGTCAAAAGCAGGAAGATAATGTTCAGTTTTTAAAAATCAACTTGACTATGGACATTTCAGTTTAAAAAAGAACAGAAAGAGGATTGTATACGAAACTGTGAATTCTTTTATGTTTAGATTGTTTTTTTTTAAGTAAGTAGTAAATTCAACACAAAATTAACAAACTGCCCTGCCCTGCCTGTCTATTCCACCTTCCGAAGTACCTTTTGCTATCTTCTATGTATTTGTATTTAATTGATGCTCTTCTCTTTCTTTTCTATTTTCCATTACTATCACCACCCCCAGGCATCTTAGTGAGCTGGCTTCTGTGCCTAAGAAATATGAGTTCAAGTTCTGCTTCTGATACTTGTGACCTGGATAAGACACTTAAGTTCTGAGTGCCATTGGCTATCTCCTAACCTGCCTAAGTACAGAAAGTTTTCTTACTTAGAAGATCTCTATTAAAAAGATGGATCTTTTTTTCTGGAGGAAGTTTGGGCCCATTAAAGGAGCGTTTTGATTCCCAAAGACTATCTGACCTGCTCTCTTCTTGTTTAAGTCCAGGCCCAATACCTTCTTCATTTGCAGTGTCTGTTCAAGATAAATACAAATATACAAGTTTTTCCCCCAAGCTTTAGTGCAGTTTTAAGTTAATATTTTTGGAACAGATTCCCTGTACGTTGATGGACAGCTATTACAAGGCTGGGTGTCTAAGGATATACTATCATCTGGCAATAGATATTTTTCATTCAATTGGTTTTGTGTATGTGGATGGCTGCTAGACCAAATTCTTTGGAAAGGTAATAAAGCTTGTCTAGAAGGTTCTGTGATTGGCTAGGGCTTGGAAACAGCACAATGTCATCTCCAGACAGGAGGATTTGGAAGACCTCACCATCTCTAGAGAATCCTTCAACTTTGGTCCTGTTTGGGCCTCCAATAGCTATGTGTTCTTTAAATCTATTTTATCCTATATTACTTCTGTTTTTTGGGGTAATATTGCTCATAATGCTCTATCACTCTCTCGGCAAAATTTTATAAATTGATCTTTCTTAGAAGAGATAGCCATAGATTCAGGGCTCAGGCTCATCTAGGCAGGACAGTACTGGAAGTTATGTAGAAGCCACTACTATAATGGCAGTGGTAAGTGGTGGGGTGAGCTGAAGGGAAGGTGCAGTCCCCTTGCCCATCACCACCGCTGAAAGGTCCAAAGAGAGTTCCAGGCCTAAAGTTAAGGGAAGGGGAAGAAGAGAAGGAGAACAGCAGTTACTGCCCTTTTGAAATCTACTGAGTGGAGAGCTAGCTTTTTCTGGCTCTCCTCTTTATCACAACCCCCTTCCCCTTGTTGCATTCCTAGAGACCAAGGGACAGCTCTATTACCCCAAAGCACCAAGTATGTTGATACTGAATCTTTTGTTTCTATATACATTTCATTTCTCAAACCTCCCCCACTTCCTCCCCTCCCCACCCCAACCTCAGGAAGCCATACTGGGTAGCAGATTTTTTTTTCTTAAATAAAGTAGGAAAACCAATCAGCATATTTTTTTAAGGTAATTGGGGTTAAGTGACTTGCCCAGGGTCACACAGCTAGTAAGTGTCAAGTGTTTGATCTGAGGCTGGATTTGAACTGAGGCCCTCCTGACTTCAGAGCCCCAATCAGCATATTTTCAGTATTTAACAGTATGTTGTAATTTTATTTGATGCGGCAAACATTATTAATATGGACCAAGTACACAGTGCTGTACAAAGTGTTTATATGGTGGGTGGGGGAGACAATAGATAAATAAGACATTATCTTTGCCTTCAAAGATATTTATAAATCTAATAAGATACCATCACACATGTATAGAAATAATTATAATACAAAATGGAACATGAAGAATGCATAAGGAAATTCAAATGTATACTACGTAGAGGTCTGATTGGGAAAAATCATGTGATTTTGTGGCACGGAGGTCATTTACGTTTTTATTTGGAAATTTCATCTGGGATTCTAGGTATCATGGTAAGCATTTCATAAGTGCTTTAATGAATCTAGAGGGCAGATGATTGAGTGGACAACAAAAATAGGCACAGATATTGCCATATTTTTTAAAGAAGTCATCATGGAGTGGCAGTATTAATACTGAGTCAGCTGATGGACAACCTAGCACAACAGAGCGAAGTAAAGATAGAGAGAGTAGAAGCTTGTGATCCAGGCAGTTCGAAAGAAGGGTAGAAGAAACACAACCCTGGAGGCCTCATCGGCAGCCTCAGCAGGGACCACCACACAGTGGAGAATAATTCAAACCTTTTCTGACTTGGGGATGTCAGAACACACAGTGTTGCCCATACAGTTCTGGAAGGTGGATATGGATGAATATGGGAAGAATAAATTCATGGGAGGAGGAAGATAGGATTGAGGGCCAGGCCTGGCCAGGCTTGAGGAAGCTAAAAAGGAGACTCCTGCCTGGAACTAGGGAAGAGGACAGCTGAATTACCAGCAGCCCTGAAAGTCCCTCTAGGCCACACCCAGAGTCAGGCAGTTTAGAATCTGATTTAAGCACTGTCACTAAGGTGCTCATCACTTTTAAAATTAAGAATGTTGAAGGGGCAGTAGATCGATATAAGATCTAAGAGATGTAGGGTCTTGTAATGAAATATATTTGTAAAGGCTTTAACAGCTCCTCTGATAACAATGATGCTGTGTTATGGCCATGCATGAAAAGGTCTGAGTGCCACACCTCCCCAAAAACAACAACAACAACAACAAACACTGTTTCATCCAACAGGAAGTGGTTTTGTGCCAGGGTTGTAGGGGTTGTTGGTACAAAGACTAAAACAGCTAAATGCCACATCAACTCCTTAGGTAGCCTCTGGTTTCTTGCTTCCTTTTTCTTATCTATGAAAGAAAAAAGGTTACATCAATTTTGCTCTAGGTAAAAATTGAAGTAATTTAGAGGTATAGTTTTGTTTTAACAGGCATAATTATTTGATGCCTTCACATCGATTTTAATGTCTGTGAATAGCTATCGATGGTTTGTATTCACTTATCATTATATAATCTTAACCCCTTTTTGGCTGGATCTTTCTTTTTAATTAATTAATCAATTTTTTGTTTTCAACATTCACTTTTATAAGATTTTGAGTTATAAATTTTCCTCCTCCTCTCTTTTCTCCCCAAGATGGCATGCAATCTGATATAGGCTATACATGTACAATCATATTAAACATATGCCCACAATAGTCATGTTGTGAAAGAAGAATCAGAACAAAAGGGAAAAACCATGAGAAAGAAAATAGTATGCTTCAATCTGCATTCAGACTCCATAGTTCTTTCTCTGGTTGTGGATAGCATTTTCCATCTTGAGTCTTTTGTAATTGTTTTAGATCATTGCATTGCTGAGAAGAGCTAAATCTGTTAAAGTAAGTCATCAAACAGTGTTGCAAGTACAAGTCTTTCCAGGTTTTTCTGAAGTCTGCCTGTTCATCATTTCAAATACCACAACTGGTTCAGCCATTCCCCAATTGATGAGTGTCCCCTCAATATCCAAATCTTTGCTGCCACAAAAAGAGCTGATATGAATATTTTTGTACATGTGGGTCTTTTCCCATTTATATGATCTTTTTGGGATACAGACCTAGAAGTGGTATTGGTGGATCAAAGAGTATGCACAGTTTGATTGCCCTTTGAGCATAATTCCAAATTGTTCTCCAGAATGGTTGGATCAATTCACAACTTCACCAACAATACATTAGTGTTCCAATTTTCCCACATCTCCAACATTTATCATTTTCCTGTTTTGTCATGTTACCCAATCTGATAGGTGTGATGTGGTACCTCAGAGTTGTTTTAATTTGTATTTCTCTAATTATTAGTGATTCAGAGCATTTTTTCATATGACTATAGATAGCTTTAATTTCTTCATCTGAAAACAGCCTGTTCATATCAGTTGGGGAATGACTGTATCCTTATAGATTTGCCTCCATTCTCTATGTATTTTAGAAATGGCGGCTTTATCAGAGACAGTGGCTGTAAAAATTGTTTCCCAGCTTTCTGCTTCCCTTCTAACTGGTTGCATTGGCTTTGTTTGTGCAAAACCTTTTTAATTTAATGTAATAAAAATTATCCATTTTGCATTTCATAATGTTCTCTATCTCATTTGGTCACAAATCCTTCTGTTCTCCATAGATCTGACAAGTAAACTATTCCTTGCTCTCCTAATTTGCTTATAGTATCAACCTTTATGTCTAAATCATGTGCCCATTTTGACCTTATCGTGGTATAGAGTCTAAGATGTTGGTGTGTGCCTTAATTCTGTCATACTGTTTTCCAGTTTTCCTAGCAGTTTTTGTCAAATAGTGATTTCTTATCCCAGAAGCTAGAGTCTATGAGTTTATCAAACAGTAGATTACTGTAGTCATTGACTGCTGTGTCTTGTGTACCTACCCTATTCACTGATCCACCACTCTGTTTCTTAGCCAGGACTAAGTAGCTTTGATGATTGCTGATTTATAATACAGCTTTAGATCTGGTACAGCCAATTGGCTGGATCTTTCAAGCTGATCCTGAGGTATTTCATCAGAACCTGAGGGCAGTGGCCAACCAGGGAGGCAATGTAGATCATGTAGCTCATAAGAGATGTTTGAAAGAATGGCAGCTATTAACCTTGCAAAACTAGACTAACTTCTGTACAAACAAAATATGTAACTGAAACTTTTTTTTAAACACACACCTTGCAACTTCAATTCTCTTTGCTTTCAGAGTATATACTCTTCCTGCCTTCTCAGTTCTTTTTGAATTTTTGGGATTCGTAATAAGATGTCACAGAATATTTATAAATATCTGCAGAATATTACTTTCTGATTGACATAAGCATAATATTTTGCCCTAGCAGAATGGTCCTTTTAAGAAAGTTGCATTGCTAATGGAAAAAGAAATGGAAACAATGGTATAATGTACATCTTGGACAGTACCTGAATAAAACACTATTTCCTATAAAAAGCACAGTAACTGCTTTTGACAGTATAACTTGCTCAACTGGTATGTGCCCTATAGTTGTCACTCTGAGCATTGTTCTTTGGATTGTTAAGATCTCAAAATATTTGGTTTTGACCCAAACAAATGCACAACAAATTTAATATTTCAATGTGTGTGTATGCATATATATGTATATGTATATAAAATTTTTAAAAGAAATAGTCACAGCAAAAATGTGTACTTTGTTGGGTAAACCAAAGCAAATCTCTCAAAAAATTACTGGTGCTTTTAAAAACAACTCTTTAGGAACTTCAGGACAAGCCAGCAGGGAACATCTAAATACATATGACAGGAAGAAAATGATCCTATGTCTAAAATATATACAGTTCACTTGTCTGTGGTTTCTGTGATAACTGGTGCAGAATTTCAGAAAACTGCTATTTGATACCTTTTTTAAATGATTATATTGTGAAAATAAATTGTCATTGTTGAACAACAACAACAACAAAATGTCATTTTATACAATTACCTCAAAGCAAACATCTTTACTGAAATACCCCTCCCCCAAATTTGTGGTACACTCTTTAGCAAATATAGTAGATGCAAGTGAAAACCCATAAGAGCACCATAGAAGAGAGGTGCCTGGCTAGGGAACATGGTCAGGGCAACCTGAAATCTGACACATCTTGTGGTGCAAGCCTCCCCTTCACCTCATCTGCACCCACTTTATTGGGAGGGTTTGCCAGAGCCTAGGAAATAGTCTCCTTGATCTCCAGGCTTACTTGGATTGAAAAAAAATAATAATTTATAATAAATTCAATCCTGGGGCAAAATGAATTCCAAAATCAAAATTTTAGTTGTTTTTGAAGGGCAACTTCCTGTTTTTAGCCAGAGTCCCAAGACAGGATTCAACAAAGATGGGCCAGGCTAGACTTCACTTGGTGGTCTCATCAGCTGCAGTGGATTTTATTGCCATCTCTATGCTAATGATTCTCAAATCTACGTTTCCTGACCCAATATCTCTAACGATTTCCAGTATCACATTTCCATCTTGAATTGGGATGTCCAGTAAACATCTTAAACTTAGTATATCCAAAACAAACTCATTATCTTTTCCCCTGAATCCTCCCTCCTCCAACCTTCCCTATTGCTGTGGAGAGCAGCACTATCCTCCCAGTCCCTCAAGTTCAAAACCCAGGTGTCATTCTAGATTCTTCACTTACCCCACATATCCAAGCTGTTGCCAGAGATTGTGATTTCACCATGATAACATCGCTCAAATATGCTCCCTTCTCTCCTCTGACATCACACTTAAATGAGGGCCCTCATCACCTCACACATTGATTATTGCAATACCCTACTGTTAGGTCAGCCTTCCTCAAGTCTCTTTCCATGCCAATCCATCTTCCGTTCAGCCACTAAAATGATTATCCTTAAGTGCAGGTGGAGCATGTTTCTCCCACTCAATAAATTCAGTGTCTTCCTGTTGTCTCCTAGAGCAAATAAAATGTTCTGTTTCCCACTGAAAACTCTTCCTAACCTAGCCTCCCATCATTCCAGTTTCACACCTGACTCCCTAATACTTATTTTTTCATCCAGTGACACTGGCCTTCTGGCCTGGGAACAAGACAATCCATCTCCACTCCAGGCATTCTCTCAGGGGTCCCTCATGCCCAGAATGACCTTCCTCTCCTTGACTACTAACTTCAGTTACTTCTAAGTCTCAGCTGAAATCCCACTCTACAGGAAGCCTTACTCAACCCCGCTCAATTCCAGTGCTTTCCCTGTAAATTTTTTTCTCAAATATTCTTCATTTAGCTTGCTTTGTATATATTTGTTGGCACTCTTTAATGGCAGAGACCATATTTTGCGGGTTTTTTGTACCTCATCACGTACCAGTGTCTTACACTGTGCTATTTGATTGACCTTAACTTTATGTAATAATAGGCCAGAAACCTCCAGAATCAACAACATATCAAGGGAAAAGAAAAGAAATAAAATTATCCAATAATACAAAGCCCTGTTTTTTGCTTTTGAAAATGGCATAAGTGTTGCAAAATCACTAATTTAGAGCCAAAGCTCATTAAAAAAATGTGAAAAGAGGTGTGACACAGGGGGACCTGAGTTCAAATGCACCCTCAGACACATAATACTTAGTAGCTGGGTGATCTTAAGTTGACCCCATCACCTAGCAAATTCAAAACAAAAAAAAAGCTCCACTGTAATAATGCAAACATGTCATTATTAAGAGAACAAGAACTGCAATGGAATTCCAAAGCATAATTTCATCACAGAAACCATGCACTTTTGACTTCTGGCCAAGTGACTAAAAAAAAAAGAAAGTACACCATGAAAACCATGGAGGAATCAAAAAAGCACAAGAACCTTCAATCACCCAATTACCATGAATTATGCAGTTGAGTTTCCTATCCAGAGTGCAATGGATGAGCTTGTCCTGGGGAAACCACCTTCCTGATCGTAGAGTCATCCCAGTTATACAAGTATGCTAGGTTACTCCCACGCATCTACTCCATCAACACACACTGACATTTCAGATATGGCAACTCTTGCAGCACTTCAATTTCACCTAAATCAAACAAGAGCCTCAAAAGTCACAAAAGATGTTATAATTTCAAATCGGAGAAGCACACGTAGTACTCTCAGACCATCAAAACCTACGTATTTAAGAAGCAGAAAAGCATAGGAAAAAAGCACACAAGTTTCTTCATTTGCATACTGCCTCCCCTTTTGTGATGTCACACCTCCCAGAGATTGTCATTTAAGAAACCAACATTCTTAGCAACTTGGAACTTGGACCAGGAAATGAGCTGCTTTGTGCAACATTAGGCATTTTATCATCCTAGTGGGTCGACAACAGATTCGTTTTACTGTTGGGTTGGTTTCGTTTTATCTCCCACCTGGACCATTGCAATAGCCTCCTGGTTCCTCTCCCTGACTCTGGTGGTCTCGGCTCTCCATCCATCCACCCATCTACCAAACAATTTTTCTGACCACGTCATTTACCAACTTGGGCAACTCCAATGGTTCCCATTATGTCTTTGGGATAAAATAGAAACTCCTCTGTGCTACTGAAAGCTCTTCACAATCTGGTTCCAGACTTATTACACTAATATTACTTCTCTTCCTGTACTCTATATGGTTCAGCCAAACGGGCCTTTCTCCCCTTAACGTAGGACACGCTCCAGTTCCTCTCTCTGGGACCTTTGCTGTGGCTGTCTCCCATACCTGCAATGCACTCCCTCTTCACCTCCGACCCTTAGCATCAGGAGGGTCAGGTATTACCTTCTACATACATAAAGCCTTTCCAGATTTCACACCCTCTCCCAAAATTATTTTTATTGTAATTTTATGTTCCTATAAATGACAAATATTAAGGACCATGGACATTTCCATATACAAAGAAGAAAAGGCAAAGAGGCTTGCCTATAAATACCTCAATCTCTATTGAAGTTCACCTTGGGTTTGGTTTTTTTTTTAATGTACCCAACAAATTCGCTATACTCCTTTCATCCTGCCTGTCTTCTTTCTGTTCTCTTCTGCCCTGCATTTGGTACTTCACTAATTCTCTTTCCTTTCTTCACTAACACTACAGTACTCAACTGGTTACCCCAAAGCCCTCCCTTATATCAAATAAGATTAAACAGAAGCAATCCACACACACAATGCCCATGTATGAAAACCTTTGTTTCATTCAGTACCTTTCTGCTAAAACGTGGGAGGCCCTACCAAAATTACCTTGTAGTAATTTTCATAATATTTTGTATATGCTTTTTTGGGTACATTTTGTACAACATGTCACTTAATAGAATCTGCTTATTGGTTCACTGACAGCTAGAAAGTATATGAAACTGATTTACCTCAGTAAACACCAACACACCAACACATAAACACAAACACACACACACACACACACACACACACACACACAAATGTCAAGTACTACATGTCCCAACCAGAAATTATTCAGTGTAATTCAAAAGAGTGTAATTCCCTCTTATTCTTTGCTTTCCCTGTGGCTTTTAGCTTCTTTCTCCTAGTGGCTTCAGAACACAGAATCTCTATGAGCAAAGAATTCTTGTTTCTTAAATTTCCTGACGCATGAAATCTAACAAACTACATCAGGGTTGTAGGTTGCTGATGCCAAGTAACATGATAACAGAGGATTGTGCATCATTAGGTTACTACTCTCAGCTGATAAATTATTCCCTGATCATTAAGTGTTACAGAAATAATGGATCAGTCCCACCTAGGAAAGGTCATACCGAACCAGCAGAAATCCTTTCCAGCCCAAGAACTGATCAGAAATGAGAAAAACATGGATCCTTAAAGCCCCAAAGCCTTCTGTCCTTTTCGCTCCTAGGGACATTGACTATAAAAGCAGTCTGGCCTGTAAGCAGATAATAGGCTTCCTCTCATGTTTTCTCTTTTTATTTTTGCTGGTCAGAGAGTCATGTCCTAGTACTGCCAGTCTTAAAGAACAATGCAGAACAGCAAGTTTGGATAGAAACAATTAAGTAGAAATATCAACTGAGAGAAATTATGTATATTAATAACAATTATTATTGAATTAGGACAAAGGATTTCCCCTTTTTCTACTTTCTCATTCAGAAATCAGCCCCTGTAGGTTATTCAGGCAGCCTTTGAAATGCAGAGCTAATAAGGGAAGGGAAAACTCAGATCTGTTCGAAATGTAAAGAAATTTTAGTTCAGGTGAATTGATGGATTCTGACCCGATGTATTTTATTCAGACAGGTCTGGGAGGAAAGTGGATTCCCCCTTTTGTTTAGGTTCCTGTAGAGGGTGTCATATGTATAAATTAAGTCCCTTTTACCAAGACTGAGCGATTGGTGTCATGTTCCCCAGACCCTCATTAGAATAAGGCCACCTCTCTTATAATATTCATTCTCTCATTTGTTAGCCAAGAGTTGATTGCCATCCTGAGGAACACCCACTCTTCCAAGGGCATATAAACATAGAGTGAGTTCCATGGCTTTGGAGAGTGTCAGTGACCCATATTATTAATTATTGCTAGCATGATTAATAAAATGATTAATCACCCAGAAACTGTGTCTCTCAGACTTTTTATACATTGCACAAAACTACAAAAAGAAGCATTCCTGCTACAAAACCTACCAAATCCTTCTGAGAAGGGAATGGGGAGAGCCCGGGCAGGTATCACAGAATTACTCCTGTTCCTGCTATCCAATTTTGCAATAACCTATGCATTTTTTCCTGAATAAGGTAAACTTATTTTGGGGGTTCACGAAAAGTAACTGAAAAGTAGAATTGAATAGATTTTCCTCTTCAAATAATTTCCTACCTTTAGCACCCTCTAAAGAAATGGTTTTGTGATCAGTTACTAACACACCTAGGGAAAAAAGGCAGCCCATAGACATGGAATTTACAAGGGTATTCTTTGTAACCAGTATCGTAGTTCTTGGGATGACTGGAGAAGAGATGGGCTGCTCCTTAGGGCAGGTCCCTGTGTTAGGGTTCCACAAACTATTTGAGATCATAGAAGGAAAAAGAAAAGGGGATGGGGGAAGGTTACCACAGCCCAAAACGATTAGAGGGGAAGGGTGTTAGGGGGCCACTCCCAAGAGTCTTAGAAGGTGTCGCAACACCAAAGGTGATTTGTCACCAGGTCCCTGGACAATTAAAAGCCTGTAGTCTCAGATCAGGTAGTAGGGAGAAGTAGGGGAGAGAGGAAAGAAGGTACAATCACTCCTGTTAGTCCCAGGTATTAACACCATCCTGGCAATACCACTACTGGCTAGCGTAGGGAGGAGCCGGTTGATCTTTGGGAAAGAAAAAGGTTTTACTCAGAATTTATCACTTTTTTTTTTGTGATTTGACAAAGGAATATAGAATGGCAGATTTCATGAGGGAAAGCATATTACAAGGATTCTAAAATTAAGTAGAAAAGGCTTCAAATTGACAATATTGCTACATGTTTAGGTATATGTTCTCTAGCAAAGAATATCAATTTGCTTACATTTACAGAAGATAGCAGAGCTTTCTATTTACAAAAAATCATAAATTTGAAACATTATGTGTGTGTATATATGTGTGTGTGTGTGTGTGTGTGTGTGTGTGTGTGTGTATAGTATGTAGTAGACATAATATACTTACTCTTGATCACCTCCTACCATGGAAATGAAGCCAATTTTCCTGAAAAAAATATTGAAAACATCCTCAGATCTTGATTGGCTTGGAGGACTAAAGGTTCTGGGGGGCTACTGACATTACTCCTTGGTCTCCTGAAAAAACAGCCAAGACAAATTCCAGGCATCCACAATACTTGGCTGAAGGATCATGATGGGTAATCATCATGATGAGTTATGGGCAGGGCTGCTTTGCTTAGCTAAATCAACTCTAGGTATCCTCCATGTATAATATCCTAATTATCAGATAAGAGAAAAGAAAACCTAATATTTCTTTTACATAGAAACTTATTTCCCCAGAAGGAGATGTGCTGTTCCTGGAAGTACCACAAGCTCTTATTCTGTCTCCCTGCTCCAAAAATCCATTCAATATATTGTCCTCAGATAGAGGATGTATCAGATATTAAACTAATAAGAACAGATATTTTTACTATATTCAAATACTGTTTATGGTGGACAAATTTATGAGTTATTTCAATGATAAATGTTTTCCCCCAGGTTTAACAGTCAGATACTCAGTGATAATAAATGTGCAAATATACATTATTAGTGGTACCCATACCCAATAACTGTCACTAAAGAAAATTGTAGTCACATTTAATTAGGGCAGGTGACAGGAAGTGGGAGGGCACAGAGAAGTAGTTGGCATACACACACTTTAGTTCCTGGCTCCTGGTGAAAAGTCCCTGGAGTGAGGGAGGATAGAGTAGGAGATCTTTGTTTGTTACTGGTGTTCTGGTTTGAAATCACCAGTCAGGTCAAAGAGCCTCTTACAAGCCTGGAACTCTTAGACACTCTCCTGGCTTTCACTGGCCCAGGATCGTATTGTGTCTGTAGAATATGACATTAAAAATCAGTAGCCAGTCCAATAACTAGCCAGTTCAAAAGCCTCCCCTTCCGGAAAGGGATGATTAACTAGACTGCTCTAATCTTCCTCAGGACCCATTAAATTAGAGAATTATAAATTCAAGAATTCTCAATTTTCAATTCACCAACAAAGCCAGAGAGTCAGAAAGGCTTTCAAGAAGGCAGGCTGAAGAAAAGGGGCAGCTAGGTGGTACAGTGAATAGAGCTATGGCCTTGGAGTCAGGAGGACCTGAATTCAAATCTGGACAAATACCAGACACATGGTACTCACTAGCTGTGTGACCCTAGGCAAGTCATTTAACCCCGATTGTCTCGGAGAAAAAAAAAAAGACAGGCTGGATGTTGAAGGGATAAGGGGAAATGGAAGGAGATTCAGCTGAAGTGAGCAAAATAAACAAAAAAAAATGAAGAGGCTCAGTGAAGCATTTTTTAAAATAGGAAAAAGAAGAATCAGGAGTCACCAATAAGTAAGACAGTTTGGTTACTATTACATAGACTTTTTTCCCCCTTAAAACTACATATTCTAATAAGAAATAAATTCAGTAAAGAGCAATAATACTGAGAACAAAGGCACTCGGAGATTTCAAGTCATGCTTTTTTTTAGTTGATCCAAAATTTTGTCAATTAAGTTTTCAAAAGCTTTAGAACAAACATTACTCATAAATGTCATACATGCTACATAGAATTTTAAAAGAAACCTATATAATAGCAGTTAAGCTATTCCATTATAGCATATTCACATACAATCCTCTTTCTCTTCTTTGTATATTGACATTTTTCAAGTTTATCATGAAAAACAAAATTAAATAAAAAACTCTGAAAGTACAGATTCATTTTTGGAGTCCCAGCCTTCAAGAGTCCACATGACCAATATATCACAATATACATCCAGATCTTGTTAACCTGATCTCAGTGCTTGGATTTTTGCCTTGTTCTGGTGTCTGAGGCAGTGTGTCTGCTTTGTTTTTGTTTTTAGGCAATTGGGGTTAAGTAACTTGCCCAGGGTCACACAGCTAGTAAGTGTCAAGTGTTTGGCCTGAGACCAGATTTGAACTCAGGTCTTCCTGACTTCAGGGCTGGTGCTCTATCCCCTGCGCCACCTAGCTGCTCCAGTGTGTCTGTTTTTGAATAGAACTGTTGCATGGATGACTGTGGCTGTCAGTCTTTGGGATGGAAATCACCAAGTCAAGTCAAAGTGCCTCTTTCAGGCCTGGAATAATCTGGTTAATAGGAACCTCAGGCACTCTAAAGAGCTGCACCCACACCTCCTTGTGCCTATGGCTTATGCCAGTGCTTTAAGTGATGATGACAGTGCCACAGTATAGAAGTGTCTCATTCATATGCCTTATACCTAGAACAATATTTGTCATGTTGAACCTAAGCTTCATACACCAGTTAAAGAAAAACCATCTACCTCAGCCACTTCATACTTCCTAGCTGTGTGACCCTGGGCAAGTCATTTGACCCTGATTTCCTCACCAAAAAGAAAAAAAAAGGAAAGAAAGAAAGAAAGAAAAAGAAAAACCATCGACTCTTGAAGAATGCAGGAAATCCCACTCGAGCAGAGAGTGCCTTTCCTGAAAACAAAAAAGTTAAGTCAAGGAGGCAGCGGTTCTTCCAAGTATTCTTCCTTGACCAAGCTTATTAATCCATTGTTGCCTGTAGTACTGGCGATCCATTAAAGTAACTGCCAAGCTGATCTAGCTCTGGCTCACACTTCACTCTGTTCTTTATTGCTCTCCTAAAAAAGATGAGGTGAGAAGTTTTGCACATCCACATACTTCAGCAATTTCAACCCATGAATTATCGGGCTGATGTCAGAAGCTATAGTCATTGACAATAATTAGGCTTTTCTATCTTACAGGGTAGGTACATTTAAAAGTTTAATTTCTAGGAGTCTGAATACATATCCAAGAACTTCTAAATTTTTTCCCCCCACTTTCTGGCCTGTTTTTCTTTTTCCACAACCTGACTAAAATGGAAGTATGTTTTACATGACTGCACATGTATAACCTTATATCAAATTACTTGCCTTCTCAATAAGAAACAAAGAAGGGCAACTAGGTGGAGTTCAAATCCGGTCCCAGACACTTGACACTTACTAGCTGTGTGACCCTGGGCAAGTCATTTAACCTCAATTGCCTTGCCAAAAAGAAAAAAAAAGGCAAAAAATTCCCCCCAAAAAAATAAGAAGCAAAGGGAAGAAGGGCAAGAATTTGGAACTCAAAACTAAAAAATAAAGTCAAAATTTGTTTTTAAATATACTTGGAAAAATAAAATATTTTTTTAATATAAATTCGTTTATTTTTAGTTTTCAACATTCACTTCCACAAGTTTTTGAGTTCCAAATTTTCACCCCATCTCAACCCTCCCCTCCCCCCAAGATGTCATGCATTCTGAATATCCCTTCCCCTACTCTGTCCTCTTCTGTCTCTCTCCCCTTCTCTTATCCCCTTCCCCTTCTATTTTCCTGTAGGGCAGGACAGACTTCTGTACCCCATTTCCTATGTTTCTTATTTCCCAGTAGCATGTGAAAACATTTTTTTTTAAAACATATGTTTTTAAAACTTTAGGTTTCAAATTTTCTGTCTTCCTCCCTCCCCACCCACCTTCATTGAAAAACTAAGCAACTCAGTATAGGTTGTACATGTGCAGTTATGCAAAACATTCCATAGTAGACATGTTGTGAAAAACTAACTCTATTTCCCAATCCTATCCTGCCCTCCCATTTATTCTATTCTTTCTTTTGACCCTGTCCCTCCTCAGAAGTATTTACTTCTGATTACCCCTTTTCCAATCTGCCCTCCTCTCTATCATCCCCCTGTCTCTTGTCCCCTTCTCCCCCTATTTTCCTGTAGGGTAAGACAGATTTCCATACCCAATTGAATGTGTATGTTATTCCCTCCTTAAGCCAAATCCTATGAGAATAAGATTCACTCATTCCCTCTCACCTTCCCCGATTCCCCTCCACTGTAAGAGACTTTTCTTTTCTGTTTTTTTTTGTGAGATAATTTACCCCATTCTACCTCTCCCTTTCTTCTTCTCTGAGTATAATCCTCTCTCATCCCTTAATTTTATTCTCCAGATATGACCCCTTAATCTTCAACTCACCCTGTGCCCTCTATCTATCTATCTCCATATACATACATATAATTTTTTTCCTCCAACTACCCTAATACTGACAAAGGTCTCATGAGTTATAAATATCATCTTTCCATGCAGGAATGTAAACAGTTCAATCTTAATAAGTCTCTTATGATTTCTCTTTCCTGTTTACCTCTTCATGTTCCACTGAGTCCTGTATTTGAAAGTCAAATTTTCTATTCAGCTCTGGTCTTTTCATCAAGAATGCTTGAAAGTCCTCTATTTCACTGAATGACCATTTTTCCCCTGAAGGATTATACTCAGTTTTGCTGGGTAGGTGATTCTTGGTTGTAATCCTATCTCCTTTGCCCTCCAGAATATTATATTCCATGCCCTGCGGTCCTTTAATGTAGAAGCTGCTAAATCTTGTGTTATCCTGATTGTGTTTCCACAGTACTTGAATGTTTCCTTCTGGCAGCTTGTAATATTTTCTCCTTGACCTGGGAACTCTGGAATTTGGCTATACATATTCCTAGGAGTTTTCCTTTGGGGATCTCTTTCAGGAGGAGATCTGTGGATTCTTTCAATTTCTATTTTGCCCTCTGGTTCTACTATATCAGGGCAGTTTTCCTTGATAATTTCTTGAAAGATGATGTCTAGGCTCTTTTTTTGATCATGGCTTTCAGATAGTCCAATAATTTTTAAATTCTCTCTCCTGGATCTATTTTCCAGGTCAGTTGTTTTTCCAATGAGATATTTCACATTGTTTTCTAATTTTTCATTCTTTTGGATTTGTTTACAGTGTCTTGATTTCTCATAAAGTCACTAGCTTCCAATTGCTCTATTCTAATTTTTAAGGAAGTATTTTCTTCAGTAAGCTTTTGGACTTCCTTTTCCATTTGGCCAATTTTTCTTTTTAGGGCATTTTTCTCCTCATTGGCTTTTTGGACCTCTTTTGCCATTTGGGTTAGGCTATTTTTTAAGGTGTTATTTTCTTCAGTATTTTTTGGGTCTCCTTTAGCAAGCTGTTGACTTGTTTTTCATGATTTTCTTGCA